TACATTCATATATTTATTCATACGTTTGTTGCCAATTATTCAGCTTTTAGCTGTAAATTTATTTTATTTTTTGTCAATAAAAGCCCTATAAAAATAAATATGAATAGCCACAGATAAGTGTTTATGATTTAATCTTTTAACTATTTTATTTATATAATTATAATTTTTAGCAGCGTAGTTGAAATTTATGTTTAAGATTTATAGTTAAAGAGATAAGTTGACTAAAGCTATCTCACATATACTCGGATGTTTATGTAGAAATAAACATATTTATATCTTACATCTAATAAAATAAAATACTCACTTTTGCACTTTTTTCAAACATATTGCTGAACATGCTAGCACTATGACTGCTATTACTAAAAGTACAATTAAACTTAATGTAATTGATGTCCAGCTATCAATGTGATTGTTGTAATATTTATTTTCAATATAATTTTCAGTATAATTTTCTGATATCTTGGCGATGACATTGAAAGGTTGTGAAGACGGTTTTGACACTCCCTCATTAAGTTTTTTTTTTATTGCTTCTTGAAGTTTGTTAATTGGTTCATCTGTTATTGTTTCATCTCCAAAATGAAACATTGGTGGCTTAGTTAAATTATAAGGTTCAGCTGCTTCTACAATCCTTACATGTAATCCATCTGATGGAAATTCTAGTGGARGTGTTGGATTAATATCTGGTATAATTGTTGTACAAATTATTCCTAAAAAAAAATATGTTATGGTTAATATGRACTTAGTACAAAGTTATTTATAATATAATTATTTTTATTTTTAAAAGCAGTATACAATGTATCATTTGATACAATTAGAATGATGGTAGGAAAAATACTTAGATCTAAGAAAAAATGTCTGWGGGAAAAAATATTAATTATATGGAACAATATAATAGCTAATAAATACAAAAGATATATTTAAAAAAATAGTAAATAGTAAAATAATTATAAAAAACAAAATATGTCATTGAATAGTAGTCAGTAATGATATTAAAAATAAAATATATTGTACATATATCACTAATTTGGATTACTTGTCAGGAATTTTTTTACAAAATATCATATATTTATAAAAAAAAAACTTGTATAAATTATAATTGCTATAACTTAATATTTTGGGCTATAGCTTCTAAAAAATCTCAGTTATAAAATTTATTTGAAATGTTCCAAGTTGTATAAACATTTTTTCTTGGAGACCTTTTTCTGTTCCCCAATAAGAATATAGGTTATAACTTATAAGTTACAAATATGACTGGTCTACATTATTTTAATGATAGAAGTCACCAACTGATGACACTTCCAGCTTTGGCTACTATTRGAATATTATGATAAATAATAAAAAAAAACCAAAAATACTCTCCTAATCTTAACTCCMCTGGGAGTTATTTATTAGACATTATTTAGTCAATAGCAGTATTGCCATAGTTTACTTATATAACATAATAGGTATTTAAAAATTAAATTTGAATAATGTCAATTATGTTATAGCCTATAACTTATAAGAAATATATATTTTATTATTACAAATTATAMCGACATTTTACGTTTTATAAAAATAATTTTAAATTTAAAATTAAAATAGTGGGTAATCGTAATTTAAAAATATACCATAGTGGCATTAAACGTTATTTCTTAGTAATTGATGGGGACGAAACGTCCGTGGACTGGTTTTTTTGATGTGGATGAAGAATCGTCCATGATTCCATTCGCTCACACAACCTATAACTTTAAACTTATCCGTGAAAAAGGTTTTGTGTGGGRCAAACTTACGGAGTAGCCTAACCTAAGTTTTACATACCATTTTTATTTTTTTTTATAACTCAGGGGACGTCGTACCCGCATTTTATGTTATCTCTGTGTGATTGTGTTACTAATATTTAAATGTATTGTATCATACCAAAATGTACATCGAATATTCGAATGTCTAGTATTTCCAATTTTGTTTTGTTATCACAATTTAAGATAATAATATGCTGTGAAGCTATTGAAATATCTGTTAATTATATGCAATAATAATGGTTTTATCACGACAATACTATTCATTTTCATTGATTAAATTACAATCAAGCATGAAACTATTTAAAGATAGATAGTAAAAATATAGTATACTCCGTTGACATTAAATTGACCCACTCCCGCGCATGTGCCATGTATGATGAATTGATGAACCGCTGAAAAGATCAGACCACAAGGTCGAAGATCTGTAGTCTGTGATTGGTCGATGGTGATCTGCGATAGGCGTAGTAGGTTGCTGCTGCCATCCATACAGCCAACTAGCGCTCCAAGGAGGCGGTAACATGCGCGGCCACAACCGGTTTATGGCAAATGAGTGGGTCAGTTTACGGTGCACTGAGTATAGGACCAGGGGTGGCCACTAACCTTTATCTTGGGAGCCTCAAATTTATGAAGCTATTTTGAAGTGAGCCACTTTGTTAAGATAGGTRTGTATGTTTATATAAAACRAAAATATTTTGATTTTATAATAAATAAAGCAACATTCATTTTTTACACTRCACAGAGCATAATTGTTCATGTAGTAAGATAGTAGGTATTAAGAAATGGGATTTTACTTTTGAGGWGTGTTTTTTATATGTATTTTAATATGAATTAATTTTACTCTAAGCTTAGTTTCAACTTTCAAGAGTCACACGACTCACTCGGAAGCCGCATGCGGCTCGCGAGCCTCGTTGTGGCCACCCCTGGTATAGGCGATAACGGTAAGTTGGGTGCAATTATTGTTCTGTGCCCTGTGGACGGCTGTGGACCTGTGATACAATATTTGTATACTCATTGATGAAAAACATGGCACACATCGAATACTTGCAATGTACAAATGTGGCCATATGGGATTTAAGATTTTATTACGCACGATTTATACGTAT